TCTTCGGCCAAGATCAGTACAGAGTATGTGTGCACGTGCATACTTTAGTACCGGGGATGGGCAGAGGCAAGCAGGCAGAAGGGAAGAAGGAAAGCTGTGCTGCCCAATACTGCTTACTAGGTGTTCATATTTTTCTCTAATGGGACTGTGTCACACTAAGCTTTAGAACTCTGCTCTTCAAACTACCCAGACACTCCTGATATTCAGGAACTTGGAGTAAAGAAAGTCACACCAAATTTGCTCTCTGTCTGAAATGACACATCTTTTCTTAATCCTGTATCAAAGCACAGAGAGAAAAGTTAACAAAAAACAATTGGAGTGAAAAAAAGGCTTCCTAAGTTTAAACCACATTGCAGCTTTAATTAATGCTGGTTATAAAAGAGACACAACTATTCATATATGCTTATATTTTCCATTCTAACCACTGGTCAATGGAAAATGCTTAGCAGATTATCAATACATGTTCTTCACAGGTATTTAAAATTTTACTTTAATTTACGAAATATGATTTTGGCTCACTCTATAATATGATATAGGAAAGCTTATAAAGACCAAGATATTAAGAAATCATCAAATTGTTTCACTTTTGTATAGAACATTAGTGAAGATTCAGTCATTTTCAATTTATTGAGGGGGAAAATTAAAAAAAAAATTTAATTGTAGACGGACACGATATTTTCCTATTTGTTATTCTTTATAATTTATTTATTTTTATGTGGTGCTGAGGACCGAACCCAGTGCCTCATACTTGCAAGGTAAACACTCTACCACTGAGCTACAACCCCAGTCCTAGATGTTTATTCTTGAATTAATATATACACATGTGTATATCTGCATACACCATGTGTATATATATGTATGCACATACATATGGGCATATATGTATATATCCCCCTAGAAATATACTTTCTGTCAGAAAAAAAATCTTTAGAACAATGTAGGTTTTGGTGATAAAACAGATACAAATGAAGTATGATTAAATTTTTTTCTAAGAAATCCTCTAAATTGCCTCATTAAGCTGGAGAGTTCTGTTGACCATTTAGCAGACCACTCTATTCAATCATTCTCTATATGACAGATTAAGAACAGAATTTAATAGAATTTTAAAAGAAAGGATGAAGAAACTGAAAACTAGACACGTAAAAATTTTTAATGAATTTTAAAACACTTAAATAATTAGTTTAGTGTTAATATCCTCATCTTTTTGAGATACCAATCCACAACATTTTGAACTAAATATTTTAAAAGAAGGAATAACCTCATACAGATATTGCTGATGAAGCTGATCAACCATCACTAGCCTCCCATGGTGTAGGGCACAGAAGGGATCCCAGGCAGGATCAGCAAACCAACAGAAAGGGATTTAGGCATGTGTGCTCAAATTCTAATGCCAATTTATAAAAATTCCATGCTATAGGTCAATGGAAATGTAACTTCTTCCATATAGGATGAACCTGGGATGGACAGGGGCACCTGTGTGTAGCTTGGACACAGTTTCCTTCCTGATCCAAGAACTGCCTTTGCCACTGTGGATTGTAATCATGTTTTGAGGACAAGCCCTGATAAGGAAAAGTTTTAGTGTTAGTCAAGAAAATGGTGATCTCTAACTTCAGCTGAGAGACTGGGCTTCTTTAAGAAATAAATCTTATAAATAGTATTTGGCAAAGATAAAGTATTAGCTTTCTTTAATCTCAAGCCACTAGAACAATAACACCAATTTTAATGAAAATAAAATAAAGTCACTTTCCAACTTTATCTCCATACCTACCTATTTGCTTCTCATTACATTATAATCTTCTCATAGAGGGACACTAGACACAGCACACACTGCCTGCCAACATGAAATTGCTCGGGAAGTCATTTATAAAGTAGGCATATTACACACGGTAGGTTTACTAGCGAAAATAATCCTTTGCTGTGTAAGCTATGTGACAATAATTAGTAAAATTTTCCATTGCATAGTCTGTCACTTGGTGGGTAAAGTATAATTGCTATTCACTGTCCTGAATTGTTGACTAGCTACATAACCTATGGAGATATGAACATTGCTAAGCCATTTTTACACAGGAAAAAACAACGTCTTAAGTACTTTTATTAAAATAATATTAACAGTTAAAGGAGAGAAAGCCCGTCTTTTCTTCAGATGCTATAGATCACAGTCATAAGTATCAGATCCTCAGAGCACAGAACACATCCATTAACTGCAGCAACTTTGAAAATTAAATCACAGTAACACAAGCTAACTGGCCTTTATAAATGGTCCCAAAGAACTGCAGAAACAGAGTGAATCTTCTGCCACCGTGTCTCATACGTTGAATACTAGAATAAAAGCTAGTTTCTACCTAAATAGGACCTTATATAAAACTTGTTTTTGATTCCAGTATTGCCTTATGATAACACAAATGTTATTTTAAAAGACACCAATTTTAAAAGACACTTCATTTCTTTTTTTGCATATTAATAGCAAGCCTACTAATAATAGGACTAGAACTGCTCTGAAAACTAGAACAAAACATAATGGATATCTCTGGGCTTATAGATGTTCTTCTCTCTTCACAAGAAACAGCAAAGCAAATTGCAAGCTTGGATATTTGTTTTGAAGTAGAGGAAAAGTTTGTTTTTGCTAATTATTCAACCCTACACTGGTACTTTCTAAAAGTGCCCTTTCCTCAGCTATCATGGTGGGCATCTAAAGTGAAATTCCTCAATGTTTTTGGTGTGAAGCTGTAACTGGCAACATTCCTGATCATTTTCATGCCTCCCAACTAGAAAGCAGAGAAGGGCTTTTAAATGCACATAAAACAGAAAATTGCAAACAATAAAATGTGCAACTTACTGCAAACTCAGTTTTGATAACTGAAGATTTTTAAGCAGCTAATACGAGGGACAAATAGCCAGAAATAGTTCAAATTACCTACCCATGACCCTGCCCTTTGCTGTCAAGAAGGGCTAATAAAAAGTCCATATGCTACTGTGCTATAACCTATAGATAGTACACAATGGAGACAAAATGAAATTGCTGGGAATTCAGTGTTACCTAGTGATGATGACAATGGGATGTGAAAATAGCACAGCAAACTAAATGATACTTGAGCAGAGGTAACTACTAATATTTCATTACAGTGCACTAAAGTAAAAAAGCTTACTGACACAGGTTCACAGGTGAGAAATATGCAAATTATGTGTTCTCACCACTCAGAATAGAAATTTATGGTGATACCAAATATAATTTTGCTTTGAGACATAACTTATAATTTAGAAATTTTTCAATCTTCAAAAAAGGCAAAGCTATTAAAAATAAATCTTCCAATCAATTAACATGATTTTAAAAAAAAAAAAAGTAAATATATTACATACATATTTTTGGCCCCCAAAGAAACTTCAATAAATACAAAATAGGGCATATCATGATTCCATACAGTCATGTGACATTTCCCCTCCATAATCCCAGGCACGTGGTATCTGCATAATGCTTGCTGATCACCATCATTCCTTTAAAAAGCAGAGAAAGAAAAGCTTCCAAAAGAAGGGCCTGGTTAGAACTATAATGGCATAAAGAGAATACATATAGGAAATAGGAAAATATGTCCAAACTTTTACCTACTAGAAAGGAATTAAGATCAAATATTCCCTGATAAATGAATTATTGTACCACTTCACTAATAGATATGTTCTCTCTGCTCATCTTTTAAAAAATATATATGTAAATTAGGCTGGACTCAGGTATAAATAGCCAATGTATCTTAAGGGACAGTGAAATTTCTCAGCAAAATTGGAGTAGAGATACTTTAAAATCTAGCTCCACCCTTCTCTGAAGCAGAGGGCAGGAAAGGCAGGCAAGAAGAAATCTCACATATTTATTTCATAGTCACCAACTTACTAAACTATCCAACATGATTTTTTACCCTAAAATCCTGATACTTAAAAGAATTTCCCAAAACTTTTACCAAATTTACTTAAACCTAGATTAAATTATTTTAAAAGTACCAAATGCAGGTAAAATGTATGTCTGATCTCCGTATTCTGCTTTGAAAGAAATTTTAAAATGTGTATCCTTCAGTTATTACACATCACTTCACAACTGGTACACTGATTCTACAAGTGTCTTCAACATTTTACAAATCTTACCAAAGAATCACTACTGTAAACATGAAAAAGTCAAAAGCAAAAGATGGATCAAGAAGTTCACAGATTTCATCTTTCAAATCTATCTGACCTATCCTGCTTTTTCACATCAAGATATTTTCTTCAATGACATCTTGCAAAAGTGTCCCATGAGTGAGGGGTTTAAAACAAGTGCAGGTCTGAAAAGGCAAAATGGCCTCAGCAACCCCACAGTCACTCCAGGCAAGTCTTGCTTGACACCCGCCCCCGCCCTGCCCCCATCACTAATGTGAATTCAGCTTTTGGTGTCTCACTTCTTTATGGGCTAACATTTAGCAGAAAAGGGTTGTGCTATTCACATGGGCAGATCACCCCCCTCCCTATTCAAGAAACTTCAGTTAACTCAGTGGGACAGAATGACCAACCTTACTAGGATGTGAGATGTACAAAGGAGAAAAAAGCCTTATACTCATTACAGGGGTTAAAAAAAAAAAAAAAATTAACAACCCAATGGGACGCTACTTCCTGCACTGCACAAAACACACACATGGGTGCACACACACTCACAGGTGGTCAAAAAACTTTTTTTTTTTTTCTTTTTAGTTAACCATGATCACAATTAGGAATGGCATCCTGGCCTCTGGGTGGTGTTTGGCAGCTGATGCTGAGTCAGAGCCTTAACCTGCCTCTATACACCACCAGTTATCTCCTACACAGGAACTCATTTAATAGGATCATTCTATCTAGAACCACCTATGTAAAAACCTGGCTATAGAATGGAAAGCACTGATCTGAATACTAGGAAATAGTAAAGGGCACTGGTAATCTGAGGTATCTTCCACTTCTAGGACTTGCTGCTAAAAACCAATCCTATCCAGTCAATGTGCTGAACCACCAAGGAAACCACAGGGGCCGAGTGGACCTGCCAGGAGGGAATGAGCACCAGTGCTTAGGAGCACATGTGAACACTGCAGCAAGGTCCACTGCCTGGCCACCTATTGAGCTGGGAAGGGGGTGCCCCTCTAATTCCCATCTGCTATTTTTAAGTCTTCTTTTGGAAAAGGGGGTAGGGGTGCTAAAGAGGAAACAAAGATAGAAAACACCGGGTTCCCCACCTTGCCTGCAAACACACAGACACGCTCAGTTAGGGGAGGGAAAGGGAGAAGATGCATTATTGGTACTTGTAGCTGTGGCACCTGTTACTGTGAAGCCTGTAGGAGGGGCTATAGAGCTGTGGCTGGGCTGCAGGTCCTTAGGAATGCCACTGTGAGAACTCAGCTGGTGGCCGAAGGCTGCGCTGAACTGAGGGAGTTGCTGCTTGGGAGAGGTGGAGGCCATTAGTTCAGCAGAAGGCCCCATGCCACTGAAGCTGGTCTGCGGTAACCCCGGAAGCACACTGGAGCTGCTGGGGGTCACGGTGGCGAAGGCAGGCTGTGTGGTCTCTGAGTTCGAAGTGGTGGGTGGCGTGGATAGGGAAGTGGAAAGAAGATGTCCATCTGCGCCGAGAAGGTTGCTAAATGGAGAGGGATCTCCAAGGTTGACAGGGAGATTACCCCAGTGAGTTCTAGGGTTTACCACTCCTCCAAGTGGCACCTCAAGTTGGGTTGGGAGCAAGTGCTGCGCCATGATGGGCATCTCTGCTGAAAAGGTAGCTGCCATATTATCACCAGAGTAAGATGTCGTGTGGGGAGAGGTGATATGGTCACTGTAGGGAGACGGCACGTGCTCACTATCATAATGGCTTCCATGGGGCGAGGAGTGTGAATGATCACTGCTGTATTGCTGTCGTGAGGTGATTAGGTCGTCTGCCTTGCTCAGCAGCTGGGCAGGATGTGGCCTCTGGGAGGCATGGCTGCCATCATGAAGTCCATGAAACTGTCCTGGGAAGGCTCTCTCCCCAAGTGCACTCTGGCTGATCAGAGTGGCAGAAGTAAGGCCAACGTTGGCTGGGGCAGAGAACTGCCCCTGGATCTGCCCTGCCAGGGGTGTAGGTGGGTTAGACAAGGTAGCAGAACGGAGCAGGTTCTCGTCCAGCTCTAGACTAGAAAAATTATCATGTACTATTCGCCCATTCAATAGCTCCCCTAGGTCCGTGTTTACTTCTCGGCTCAAGGACTGGATTCCTGAAGCTCCAGTACCTGTGGAGAACACCCCTATTCCTCTATCTGACAACTCCTGGACTGGTACACCGTCTGACTGGGTAAGTACCCCAATGGTACTCAGGCACTCGAGAGAAGTTACAGCCTGCAGGGCCCGTTCAAGCTCCTCAGCCTCTTCGGTGGTCGGGAGGAGGTCTCCATTCTTTCCTGAGTCAACAAAAGGCATTGAGAATAAGTAGGTCTCATATCTAATCTATACCACAGCATTCATACATTTAAATTATTCAAAGAAAGTCCTTCTTGAAAAGGGAAGCTTCTAAGAACTGCATTGGAACGAAAAAGTAAACTATTAATCTGCAGGATGGGTCTGAAGGATCAGCTGCCTGAGAACTTGAATCTCGAAGGCCATCTTATCAGATGTTCAATTCTTAGGAACTCTGTTACCAATTTAAAAATCTTATAACCATTTGGTTGTACATGTTTTTATCTAAAATTATATTTATTATATTATGATAGAAAACACAGGCTGCATAGAGCTACTGTTCCTTGCCTTGTCTATGCCCAGCTTCTTCCAGCTTGAGGGCAGACAGAAGACTAGAACACAGAAGCTCATGCATACATTTCAGCACAACACTAAGCACTCAGTTCATTTTGGGGGTGTTTACCTAATCCTTCTCCCTCATTCTTTTTCCATTTCTAATTGATTTTCATTAAATGGAAGCACATGGACACACTTTGATTTCACTATCAATTTAAAAAATCTTATTGTTAGGAACTTGATTTATCACCATGAAAATATTCAATTTTTAGTGGGGAAAAAAAAATATCTTAATAGCATAAAAGTTTTCCCCTGAAAGCACTGGGGAGTTGATGTGATTAAGCAAACTTTGTTTTAGAAAAGTTCACTTTAATTGAATTACAGGGTGGGATATTAAAACTGGGAAAGTTCTAAAAGACTTCAATAAACTTGTGGTTTAAATGTCTGTGTTCAAAAAATTAAGTAAAATTACTCATTTTAAAGAAACAAAGTTATAAATCTAGCTATCAATATAAATCTACTAAACCTAAAATATGGTTAAACAAAATTACCTACTCTCCACTTCTGAAAAGGACTGAAAACTTTGGCAGTGTTATATTTTCTGTCTATAGAGTGAAAAAATATTTTACTTGAGGAAAATTTCAGACACATCTCAAAACTATTTCTCTTCTTACAAACTCATTTTTTTAAGTCAGTTTCTTTAATTAAAACACTGACCATACCTTCAAAAAAATCAAAATCTTGCAAGTCATCAGGTAACCGTGGCAGGACGTCTGAAAAGTCCTCCTGGTTCAATTCCAAATCATGTGGAATGTCGGTGATCTCGTTGGCAATGTCATCCGGCAACTCGTCAGCACTCAGCTCGGGCGTGGATGGGCTCCTAGGAAGACAGGGCATTTGGTGCCAGCACTCCCCCTTCACCTTCATACCAATGTCAACAATTCAAGTTTACCCCACGTAGGAAGATGCTAACTATAAAATGCTATGTATTTTTTTAATACATATATATTCAATGCAAACATGGGAAATCCTAATATAAACTGTCTCCTTCCTTACTTTGTGAGAAGGAATTCAAAGCAGATACATTGCAAAAAGATATACCTTGCCATATACCGTCACATATTTCTTTAATCTTTACCCATAATTGAGATAAGAGAATTATTTCTAGCTATATTTTTACTTCAGATTAGTAGAATGGATCACAAGTATGTCTTAATATTTTGTAGTAGAATTTCAAATTTGGTCAGAATAATAATTTTAAAAATGAAGTAAAGCACTGGGCATGGTGACCCATACCTATAATCCTAGCCAATCATGAAGCTGAGTAAGGAGGATTGCAAGTTCAAGGTCAGCTTGGGCAACTTAGTAAGACCTATGAAAAATAAAATTTTACAAACAAGAGCTAGGGATGTAACTGCATGGTAGAGTGCCTGCCAAGCAAGCATGAGCCATTGTGTTCAACCCACAGTACCACAAAAGACAAACAGGTAAAACTGAAATGTAATAAAATGAAACAGAAGCTCTAGTTATCCTGTCAAAATGCCCAAAATTAATAATGTCATAATTCTGATGAAATATTTCTTATGTATATGGAATTTCTGTTTAAAAAAAAAAAAAAATCTGAGTATTGGGCTGGGATGTAGCTCAGTGGCAAAGCATTTACTTCACATTCTGAGTCCTGGGTTCAATCTCCAGTTCCAAAAAAAAAAAAGACCAAAAAACAATTTCTGAGTATATAATTAAATTCGCAATTTCAGCATCTGTTCTCTTTGCTATAATCTAAAGCTTTGATAGTGATAAATGTGCACTCCAAACTCAGCCAGAATTAGTAAAATATATTCCTCAAAATGGCTAAGATGAGGCTGGGGCCAGGGCCGTAGCTCAATGGTAGAGCACTTGACTAGACAGAAGTACAGACTGACACACTGGATGGCTCTGTAGTTTAGTGCCAACCTTCTGATACTCACACAGACAGATGTTCTGAGAACATTCAGGAAACAGGAAAAATAAGTCCTGACCACCACTCACCGGATCTGAGAGGCCTCCACTGGCAGTGAGACGCTGGTGGGCATGCTGAGGTTCCCTTGGGGGACTGCTGGGGGGATGGGCTTTTGGGGTCGACGAGGTCCACGCCTTCTCTTCTTCTTATGTTTTTTGGTGAGTGCAGGAGGCTTGGTTTTTTTCCTGGGTTTCCTCTGCTGCTGGTGCTGAACTTTACGGGAGTTATCTCCTCTCAAGAAATTATCCTTTGGAATAAACAAAAAAAAATTTATTATTTTTTTTAAACTGAGGACTACTCACTGATCAACCCTACCTCACCCTCTCTCCTGGTGTGCTACTCTACAGTAGGGTGACTACAGATAACAATAATATTCTGTGCAGCTCAAAAAACTAGAATAATGACTCTGGAAGTTTTACCATAAAGATAGTTTAACTTGATTCAAACATCATATAATGTATACACGTTAATAGAAAAGAGCCCCCACTATGGCAATATCATGTAAAATTTGTGATGTTCCCAGGTGGCAGTTAAATCAAATTTAGTATTTAAACAATTGAGACTATCTGGAAAAACAATCATCTTCAAAAAGCCTGAAGTTCTTAATATTCTATATAATGTCTAAAATAAACTTATACCTATGTAATTATTCAATTCATATGAATTCAACATATATACATAGTTCATCCCACATTTAAAGACATTATGGGAAGTACTATAACATAAATTTTGTGTTTTATGTGAACTTACTCTTGTATGTGAAAACACAGATAAAAATCTACATAAATACAGTACAGAGAACATTAAATAATGACAAGGTAAACACCTCCCACAGGTATACAAAAGAAAAATTAATTATTTTTGGTTTGTGAGATTAAAAGGTAAGTAGATTTTAAATTGTGGGATAACAGAAAAGATCATTCTTGCCTAAAGGAAATAGCACAAACAAGAGAAAAAGTATAGTAAATGACTAGGTATGATCATAGATGAAACACAAAAGCAAGCTGTAAGAATTCTGGAATCAGAGTACATATTTCTTTGAATTTCCTTTTAAACTTTTATTTAACAGGCATTGCAGCGTTTTGGTTTTTTCTTCCCCCATTACTGGGGATAAGAACCCAGGGCCTTAAGCTCTACTGAGTTACACCTCTAGCCCCTAGATAGGATGACAGCTCCCCTGATGTGGTGAGATACATAGATGTCTAGAGAGCTATGGGAAAACTACCGGTGCACAGGAATAAAGGGGATGAAGACAAAGACCAGGAAATCCATGACTCAGTCAAGACCTTTAAAATAATTTATACAGGCAGGGAGACACAGAGAATGGACACTGAGGACACAGGTACATAAAACTGCTGAAATTAAGTGAGTAGGCAAGGGGGTAAGAGCCTACAAGGACAAAAGAGAGAGTGATGATATAACTAGCTTTCTTCAGTCAATAACATCAACTCTATCATCTGCCCACCATCTGATACAGACTAAAAGTCTGTTTCATCCCCAAAATGATGTTGAATCCTAATCCCCCAATGTGATGGTTTTAGGAGGTGGGGTTTCAATCACGAAGGTGGAGCCCCCATGTATGGAATCAGGGCCTTAATATGTGAGACCTCAGAAAGCAACAATGAGGTTGGCAGGGTATAATCCAAAAAAGAACCTGACCAGAACCCAACCATGCCTGCACCATCCAGAACTGAGAAATAAATATTGATTACAAGCTACTTTATCTTTGGTACTTTCTTACAGTCACCAAAACTAACATCACATTTTATCAATTCAAAATGTACATTTTAATCTCTCTGTAATAGGAAAGTGTAAATGTTGGTATCTTACATGAGCTGCCAACCAGGTAATGCTCGTTACAGTTGGCCCTGCCTTTATACACTCAACAGCGGTTATACTTCTTTGTGCTGGCATTACTTGAATTAGTATATGCACTGCTAGTATAACTTGTGTAGAAAAAATTTTTGTGTATGCAGAAAGGCACAAAGAATAGGAGAGTATAAAATTGTTAGAGAAGCAAATATTCACTACTGAAGAACTTAACTTACTACAACTCTAAGTGAGAAAGGGAAATAACCACAAAGTGGATGATGATACATAATAGCAAAATACTGACTTTCACACATCAAATAATATAGCTAAGACCAGGAATGACATATAACATAAAAATCCATGTCTAAATAGGTTTTTAAAAGGCTCTTTTAGTAAGTCTAAAACAAAAATTCTAAGTGAAATAAAAATATTGAATCATTGGCAACATATTTTCTGAGTACAGTAGTTTTTATAACTGATGTCATCTTTGATTCTACAAATTCAGTAATAATCCACAACTGAATATATAAAGTTTATAGATAATAGTATTTGAAGATGAATAACTATCACTAGCATTAAAAATATTCAAAACAGGAAAAATAAAAATTAAAGCATAAATTCAACAAGTCTAAAAGATGATTTGATACCAAATATTTGACCAAAAAAAATTATTAAACTCTTTATGTCACAAAAACAATTTCCTTTTTCTTAAAGAGGTATTTCCTAGGCTTGTGGTTCTTTTGAGCCCAACACTTGAAGTCTACTTCTATGATGATCACTATTTAATAAAAGTGAGTGACCACCAACAACCAGCACTCAGCTCAGTGTCTACTTTAAGCAGCAGATCTTCAATGTGAGCACAGATCTTAGGTAAGATCAAGTCAGAGAGCTCCAGCCCTAGATTTAACAAGTCTGACTTGTGAGTTACCAATATCCACCTGGTAAAGGTGGATGCCTCCTGACCTACTCTCCTAGCCTACACACACTGTGACCTTACTGATCATGCACATAGAACTACTCAAGATAGACATCTTGTTTTGCTCTTACTATTGGCCATTCCCACTTAGTTCTTTTAGAGAGCTAGAGCCCCCACTTGGCAGAGGATTTCCCAATGCCAATGATTCATTTGCCTAGCTTTAGTGAGTACTGGGATACTATTCATTTGCAACTTTCCGTCTTTTTGTATGCCAGGCCAAGCACCTTCTAACTTACCAACTGAGGTGTGACCAACCTGTTGGAACATCTTTTCTGCCTACCAATCTGTACCTCTTATGGTCTAAGCTTCTCCTGCCAATGGTTGTTTCACCTCAGTGGTTGAATTTACTTCCAAATCTTCACCCTTCCCAACCATGTGCCTAACCATTAATTTATTCAACATTCCCACATAAGAAAATGCAATGAACAAAAATGTTTCTGCTCTTGTAAAGTTTCCGCAATTATAGGAGAATATAGACAATGAACAAAATAATGTTAGGCAAATAAATGTTGGAAAGGACAATAAAAAGGTAGCACACGCCTGTAATCCCAGCAACTTGGGAAGCTAAGGCAGGAGGATCTAGAGTTCAAAACTAGCTGCAGCAACCTAGTGAGGTCCTAAGCAACTCAGCGAGGCCCTGTCTCTAATAAAATATAAAATTTGGACTGGGGATGTGGCTTGGTGGTTAAGCACCCCCGGGTTCAATCCCTAGTACCAAAAAAGAGAGAGGGGGCGGGGGATTAAAAAACTGACAGGGCAGCAGGGAAGTAGAAAACTTTTCTAATGAGATATGTGATCCGAAACTTGAATGAAATAAAGGAGTAAGCCACGCAGAAACCTGAGAAAAGAACATCCCAGGAAAAGAGAAAACCAAGTGCGAAGCCCCCGAGAGGGAGCATATGTAGAATATCAAAAACAGCCAGAAAGTCAGCGCTGCTGGAATTCCAGGACGACAAAGGGAGGAGATGAAGCTGAAGAAGTGAGGCCCAGATCACAAAGTGCCTCAGAGACATTGGTGAGAATTTTGGATTTGACTCTAGATTGTGATAGGAAGTCATTAGAAGAGTTTAATCATGGGACTAAGATGATCAGATGTTTTAAAAAGCCTGCTTTAAAGGCCCATACTTATATGATTCCACTGATAACATTCTAGAAAATATAAAAATTATAGAAACTGAAAAATAGATAAATGAAGATGGAGTAAAGGATTCACTACAAGAGAATTTGAAGAAGTGATGAGACTATCCTTGATCATGGTGATGGTCACACAACTGTATCCACTTGTCAGAATAATAGCCAGAGTAGCCTCTGTGGATGTTTTCTACTTTCTTCGAATTAAATTCACAGTTCACGGGTATATATATATATATATGTGTGTGTGTGTGTGTGTGTGTGTTTACAGAGGGGAGAGTATGGAAAAAGGAGATCACTTAGGATGCTGACTATAACAATAATCAAAGCAAAGATGATGGCAGCTTAGGCTAAGACACTAACAGTCAAGTTGGTAAAATGTGTTTGGGTTGAAGATATAACACAAAAGCAGCGCCAAGAGATTTCACACAGTTCTTGTCTAACCCAGAGTAAGTCTCTCATAGGGGCAATGAAGTAATTTTTGACCCAGAACAAAAGTAGCTAAAACCAGTGTCAGATTTTGTAACAGCCTTCAGAGAGAAAATCAGTTTCAAAAATTTGTAAACACTTTTTCAAAACCTGATTAATATTTATTTTTACTTTGTCCCAATATAAAATATTCATTATTTTCTGAGTAATTCATATCATACTAATTCAACTTTAGGTTTGCTTTATTGAATTTGCCTAAGGAAGAATATTCAACCAGCTGAAAAGAATAAAGTGCTTTGAATTTCTTCGAAAGCCTTCACATAACAATCAATATACAAATAGTATAAGCTTCCCTACTTAACAATACTTTCCTAGTCTTAAAAGCCTCTAGAGGGAGGCTGGGTATGGTAACGGGCACCTGTAATCCCAGTATCTTAGGAGTCTGAGGCAGGAAGATCACGAGTTCAAAGCCAGCCTCAGCAAAAATGAGTTACTAAGCAACACAGTGAGACCCCTGTCTCTAAATAAAATACAAAATAGGGCTGGGGATGTGGCTCAGTGGCCAAGTGCTCCTGAGTTCAATCCCCTGTACCTTAAAAAAAAAAAAAAAAGCTTCTACAGGGGCTGGGGTTGTAGCCCAGCAGTAGAATGGGTAGAATGCGTGCCTAGCACATGTGAGGCATTGGGTTTGATCCTCAACACCACATAAAAATAAACATAAAATTAAGGCATGCTGTCCATATACAACCATCTATCTATCTATCTATCTATCTATCTATCTATCTATCTATCTAAAGTACTCTAGAATCAAACAACTTTAAAATTCAAGCTGGCAAATTCTTCAGTGGTTTGAAAGTTGCAGGGCTCCTGTTACCAAAAGTCTGCAAAATCATCAATGAAAGTCCACAAAAGTGGTTCAAAAGCATACAGAAATTATTCTTTACCCATAATGCAGCCTGAAGACACAAACAAAAATGCCCAAATTTTAAATATTTTTAATTAAAAAGGGGGGAAAAAATCCAACATTTGTGTATATAGGTTAGTATCTAAAATTTTCAAAACATACAATCCATAAACGAACCCCAAAACAAATAAGGTTCTTGATGAGGCCAGTGTATTACAATCAGGGAACCCAAGGTCAGAAAGGTTCAATCATCAGTCCCTAGTTATGCATTTAGTTAGTGGCAAAGACAGGGTCACAGGCCACATGTCCATGAAAACAGAAAGTGCTTACAGACAGCCGGAAGTGTCTTTCTCAACTTTTTGGTACATAAGGTAACCTAGCACAATCTCGTGAAGTAACTATCTGATGGGTGAAAATAACATCAGTGAACTTTTTTTGTTTTGTTTTTGTGTTGTTGGGGAATCAAACCCATGGCCTTGCACTTTATAGGCAAGTGCACTACCACTGAGCTACATCCCCAGGCAAAAAATGAACTTTAATGTACAATTCAAAAATTCCATAAATTCAAACTTAAATGTTCTCAAAATTATTCTGAATCAACTGGGACTAACATTAACCAAAGCAATAACTAAATTAAACCAAATTATACAAAGTCTTGGCATTTAGTCAAAATCTTAGCAAATATTCAAGACATGTACAGAACTGTATATAAGAAAGCAAAAACCTAAAGAAAAAAGGGCAAAGAAAGAGTTTGGGAAATCTGCTATGTGTAAGAAAATATATCTTAAAGAAAAGAGAGGTATAGGGGCTGGGGAAAAACAGTGGAAAAACGCTTGCCTAGCACTTGTGAGGCACTGGGTTCAATTCTCAGCACCACATAAAAACAAATAAATAAAATAAAGGTATTGTGTCCATCTACAACTAAAAATATATTTGTATATATTTTAAAAAAAGAAAAGAGAGGTATAGAATAGGGGTAGATAATAAACAAAATTAACTCATCTAAGTAGCTGCAGGTTTAATATCACTTATCCAAAAACTTAAGGAGCAAAAGTGTTTCAGACTTCGGAGTATATGCATAAAATTTAACTGATAAACATCCTTAATCCAGAAACCAAAATTTAAAGACTCCAAAATCTGAAATTTTTGAAAATCATGCCAGCACTCAAAAGGCTTTGAATTTTAAAACCTTTTGAATTTTACATTTTTGAATTAGGGAATGCTCAACCCACACCAAGTATCTTGTAAAACAGTGTTTCTAAAAATGAGGGTCTGAAATTAATTCAATGAGTCATGTTTAGCATTCTTAAAATCTTTTGGTCAGAGAATAGAAAATTTCAGGTGGTGAAAAATACTGTTTATAAAACTTGTGTCAGTGATTTATATATACACATAGTTTGTACTAGGTCACACAAAGTATTTTCTACTGTAGATAGTCATCAAAAGTTTGAAAGGCTATGTCACAGAAAATAAAATATGAGTTTACCATTTTTTTGGCATGTTCTTCACACAGAGGTGTCTGGTGTGTAATGTCAAAAACTGGCACAGAGCATTGCTGTCCATCTGCAAACTTGGCGGTGCAACTGGAGAAGAGCTGCTGAGAGCGGTTCAAGAGGATATCTGCGTTTTTTAAAGTTAGGAATAAAATACTCTTAAATGCTAACTTTTCAATATCTATATAATTCACTGCTTCCCTTACTTATGTTTAATAAATATGAATTTTATTATCGGTGAAAACCTAAAGTACAAATCCAAATAGTGATATGGTAAAATGTTAATAGTTGGATTGACCTTCATTATTTATAGGAGATACTTCTGAAGGAAGCCATTTTGCTAATAAGCTCCTAGTGCAAGTCTCTTTTATGGCCATTCTGAACCACTTTATGTTATTTGGAGAAGGATCATCTTCTTAACACATTTCACTCCTAAAATTTCCACTGTAACAACTATTTTTTTAAATAAACTTATTTTAAAAGAAAAAACTTTCTGCTTATGATATTTATCAAGAATAAAAATAGCTGGGCGTGGGGGCGCACACCTATAAGCTCACTGGCTTGGGAGTATGAGGCAGGAAGATCAAGAGTTCAAAACCAGCTTCAGCAAAAGCAAGGCACTAAGAAACTCAGTGAGACCCTGTCTCTAAACAGAAAACAAAAAAGGGCAAGGGATGTGGCTCAGTGGTTAAGTGCCCCTGGATTCACTCCCCAGTACGCACCCCCCAAAAAAGCTACTCAGTTCTAAATATTTAATAAAAGAGCTAATAAGATTTTATCTACAGTCTAAAGCTCCCTGGAAATTTTTTTCCTTAAGTATATAATCCTAAGAGACCTTTTTGCCTAGTCAGTGATATGTTAACTTATTTCCTTTCAAATTATTCTCCAAAACAGCAAATTAACCTTATAGCATCAGGCACACTGTAAAGCTGTGTAACTATCTTGGAAGACTAAAAACTAAAACTTTGATTTAATTTTTCCATCAATAATTGTTATATAGTTACTCCTTATAAGCTACCTGGAACCACCTGTAGGATCGGAATTCTATTAATAACATATAATTACATGTTAGCCACTAGGAGATCCTATTTGCTATCAGTTTGGCTTATTTTGTTGTTATTTGGTCCTCTTGACTTTGATCCAGATTCTGAACTTAAGACAATTAGAAACTGAATCTCAATTTTGTCTAAAAGATAAGAATAGTACAATTTTATGCACTTGTGATTCCTACCTTTCCCAGCTCAGTGTCATGAGAATAAAATGTGTGTGTGTGTTGGGGGGCGGGGGGCGGGGCTGAAATAATATAAGCAGAAAAAAATTGTAAGATTTTAGGAAAATTAGAAGTCACTTAATAATTTCAAAAATTAAATAGTTACTATTTCAAAAGTCATTCACTTGATTTAAAAATGAAGCACAGTAATCATCTGCAGCAGAGCACCTGTCTAAAAATGCAGGAGACTCTGGGTTCAATCCCCTGTACCAGGGGACAAAAGGTACACAGCTCCAAGTGAGTTAAAACTTTTCCATGCACACTTGATCAAGTTAGAAGGATACGTTGGAAACAATGTCTGGTGAATGGAAGGGCTTTGTTAGTGCACTGCTCCCCCTTCATGGTTCCACTGCATGCTGCTGGTTCCACCTCCCTCAACTTGGTCCGGCTTATACTGAGGAAGAAAAAATACAAAATTAGTTTTTAAAGCACACGCTTAAGAATCTAAGGCAGTTTTTCTATATTATGTCGGTACTCTGTAATATCCACATTATAACTATCTATAATACCCACAGTCATTAACTTGCAAATATGAGTTAAAGCAAGTACTATAAATACCAAATATGTTATTTCCCAAATCTATTGATATTCAAAGCAAAAAGTTTTATCACAATAGTTTTCAAATATATGGTCTTTTTGTTTTTTGGTACCGGGGATTGAACTCAGGGGCACTTGGCCAGTAAGCCACCTCCCCATCCCTATTTTCTATTTCATTTAGAGACAACATCTCACTGAGTTGCTTAGCACCTCGCTTCTGTTGAAACTGGCTCTGAACTTGCAATCCTCCTGCCTCAGCCTCCTGAGCCACTGGGATTATAGCCATCTGCAGCTGGCCCCTGTTTTTGTTTTTAAATGATATTTGATACCTTTTACTTTTCAAAAAGGTAATGGAGAAAAGTGATGAAGAACATGAGACTAGAATCAGACCCTGTTCCCAATTTCATCTCTACCTCTTACTAGCTGTGTGACAGTTAATAAGCCTCTGTTAAGAAACAACTTCCTCACTTGGAAAGGGAAGAGACAACAAGGTCCCCTCAGCTGGCAGGTGTGTTGTGAACATGGTTGTCAGTCACTGTTATCATTATCATTACTAGGATGTGGTCACCTTATGCTGCTAAATGATAAATATGCAAAACAAAACAAAACAAAAAACCCCTTGATCATAGCCAGGCACAGTGGTGCACACCTATAATCCCACTGGCTTGGGAGGCAGAGGTGGGAGGATCGAAAGCTCAAGGCCAGCCTCAGCAACTTAGTGAGACCTTGTCTTAAAATAAAAAATAAAAAGGGGTGGGAATGTAACTAAGTAGTTCAATCCCTGGTAGCAATTTTAAAAAAAAAATTAATTAATTAAATTAAAAGGACTGGGGAAGCAGCTCAGGGTAAAGCCCCTTTTAATCCTCAATACCAAAACCCAAAAAATAAAAATTAACTTGCTCTTATATATATAGCAAAGGGAACACTAAGATGCAGAAGTGACTGAGCTACTCTCAAGCCCTAAAACATACTCATTTTGGACAAATTTTAAAATTTTGCATTATGTGTAACTCCGGGTTTCAACACTTAAATGCTGTTTCCACTTTTTTCATTTAATATATTTTTTTTATTGTTGGTTGTTCAAAACATTACATAGTTTCATTTAATATTTAATATATTTAACTTACTTTTAGATTTTATGAACCGGCAATGTATGCATATGGTTCCAAAAATAATAATTCTACAAAACATCACAAATTGTTAGGCCTTTACACATGCCTGAATATGGAGGGAAAATCTTAATAAACTGACTCACAAATCAGGCACGAAAATCAAAGAAATCCTGTGTTGTTTCTAGTATCTATAAGGATCTCAATAAAATGATTTATACTAAGTAGATAAAGTCATACAGAATCTAAACTATGAATTTACATAATGTTCAAATAAAAAATACTTCTATTATAATTATAGAAACAGTTAATGGAAATAGATAATCAAGCCCTGCCATAGAACTTGCTTTAATTAAGAGTTCTACAAGATTTATCAAGATTACAAGGATGAAGAAGAGGGTCATTTCAGAAGTAAACCATTTATTCCTAATAGTTTTATATACTGCCCCCCAAAAGGTGTTTACATTATTAACTTTAGTCCTGTAAAAAAGATACATAATTTGAAATAAATATTTTTGGCAGCTAAGCCCAAATTCTCTTTCTCTTTATTTAAATAGAAGGTACCTCTCTATACTGAAGGGATAATTTTCATTGAACACACAAATTATTTACCTATCTACCACCCCTACTATACAACATATTCCCTCATTTTCTTTCTAAACTTTCAAAGAAACCATCTGTTTCATTTTTTTCAATCACCTAATGTTCTAATTTATTGATCTCTTAAAATGAATCTGAACTCAGAATTTCAATATCCCCATGGATAGATTAAGGTTAAAATTATGTTAGATATATTTTATTATTCAAATAATCCCAACAAAGCAAAGAGAATTACTAAAACATTTTGATGTTTTTAATATAAAAATATCTACAAGTTGCCTTTTTGCATGCTCTATAGTATCCCTAATAAACAATCATGCTCCCACATAAACAATGCCATACAAACACAAGACACCAACAACACTCGTCAGTGTAGGACTATACACCACCAGAGTCAAATACACGTTTATGTACTTTAGGCTATTTCAGTGGCTTAGTCTGCTTACCAAAAAGAATGAAAAAGCTGTTAGATTAACACCTTAATATTATTCAGCTTATATACAAACTATATTTTATAAGATACATATTAGAAGACAATCATTAAAGTTTCAGTTTCTAAAATATTTATCTAAATGTCTTCTGTGGAATTAGGACTTTGATACCAAAATTATCAAATAAATAGAGAATATCATGTAACTAAAACTAATTTTTGTGAACCTAAAATACAATGTACCAGTAATAAGCAATAACCAAAGAACAACTATGACACATTGCTATATGATCATCAGTAGTTTACTGCAATGGGCAATAAACTTTTCATTAATCAAGGGCGACATAATGAAATGATATCGAATAAATTTTAAAATAGTAATAGAATCCATCTTGGTGTGTTATTTTATTATTTGGTGACATTTATCATTTTCTTCCCATATCACTAAAGTCAGTTTGGAGGATGTTCTGAAAACAACCAGTTAATAATCATAGAAAAAGCTGACAGTGTAGCTCAGTGGTAGAGTACTTGCCTAGCAAGTACAAGGTCCTTGGTTTTGATCTCCAGCAGAAGGAAGGATGGAATGAAGGAAGAAAGGGAGGGAGGGAGGGAGGGAGATGGACATAGATAAAATAGTCTTCCACATAAATACCAAATTGTCCCAATCTCAATGTGCAAACTCTTACATCTCTGACAATATCATAACAATATGTGACTTGATGTATATAATATTTATATATAAATTGTATTATGCTGCATATAGCTACACTTTCTTGAAATTATACACTTGAGAGCAATATACCATCTAAAACATTTGATATCATTATTTTACAATCTCTGTCAAACTGAGTGAATTGTTTTAACAAATAAACAGACCTTCATATATTCAATAATATTCATTCTTTGAACAACACTGGAGATACAAGAACTAAATGGACCTTCATCCTGCACTCATGGAAATTACTGTCTAGCATGAGAGATTTATTCAAGTAACTCATAAATCACTATTAAAAAATTAGAACAAATATTTTTTCTTCACTTTATCAATAACCCACCAGTTAGAGACATTTCAATATACAAACTCCTAATCTTTTTCTACACATATATACTCAAAGCTGTCATCTGAAAATGTAACACTGAGAAGTGTGAAATAGTAAACTCAGTAAAGACTTAGGTCTCCTAGACTTTAAAAGAATCCTTTTTTAAAATAAATTTTTAGTTGTAGACAGGACAATACCTTTGTTTATTTATTTATTTTTTATTTTTATGTGGTACTGAGGATTGAACAACAATGACAACCAGGTGCAGTGGCACATGCCTATAATTCCAGTAGCTCAGGAGGCTGAGGCAGGAGGACCACAAGTTCAAAACCAGCGTCAGCAACTTATCAAGAGCCTGTCTCAAAATAAACATTAAAAAAAGGATGTGGCTCAGTGGTTAAACACCCCTGGGTTCAATTCCTGGTAACAATTTAAAAAAAAAAAAAGAAAAGAAAAAAAAGATGAGTGGAAAAGAAGAATAATGTTTACAGTGCTTATTCAGTTACATCAATGGAGCTATGGAGATTTCCCCCTTCTTTTTTCTGTATTTTTCCAAATTTTGCTCAATAAACAAGCATCTGCATTACAAACAGAAGAGCTGTTTCTTCCCCCTAAAGAAATGCAATGTAATAAAATATGTTGAACATGTTGGGCAAAGCATACTCAGGAGATTAAGACAGAAGGATCACAAGTTTGAGGCCAACTTGGGCAACTTAGTGAGATCCTTTCCTGTCTCAAAATAAAAAGTAGGAACGATCTGAGGATGTAGCTCAATGGTGGAGCACCCCTGGGTTCAATTCCCAGTACCACTAAAACATAATGAGTGAGGGCTGGGGTTGTAGCTCAGTGGTAGAGTAACTTGCCTCGAATGTGTGAGGCACTGAGTTCAATCATCAGCACCACATAAAAAAATAAACAACAACAACAATGAGTGAATGAATGAAAGAAAACTGAACACATACTAGGTGGGGTAGTTATATGAAATACATGGAAAAGAAAAATCTTAAATAATACAAGCAAAAAAACATGTCCTTTTAATAAAACACATTTTTCTTTTGTTACTAAAAAAACTATATTACTTTCAAATAACATGAAATTTTTTAGCACTAAAACAGATAATATTCTCAACCTTCTAAAAATAAACTGTAATTAAATTCCAGCCAAAACTTCAGTAATGCTTTTACTATCATATCAGTACATGGCAGTACTATTCTGTCACCTGTGTGGTGCTTTTTTCCGGAACAACAAAACCAAAATGCAGTCTCAAATATTTTAGGTTTAAATGGTCATTGTGCCTTAACCACCCTCTCCAAAAATACAGAAAACAAAATACAAACTGAGACAAGTTCCTTAGAACAAGTGGCTCTGTGTGGCTCTAACCTGGTTCGAGTGCATGCTGCTCTCCGAAGTTCTTGTATTAACTGACCAGTACATTCCGGTTCTTTACTGGCTGCCTGCAGCAATGCTTTCCTAAATGTATGACGGCATTTCTTTTGACGAGATTCTGCCCTTTCCAGGCGGCAGAGGTGCTTGTATTTCTGCTGAAAGTAAGTGCAAAGTTGGGTCACCCTGGAGCTCCTACTCTCCGCATCATCGTCATCTGGCCTGGAAAGTGCAAGGAGAGAAGTAAAAAACCAATTACACATTAAGCTCATTTTAGAAAGGGGAAATGAGAATAAGGAAAGGGGGCTGATGAACAGGGGTAAAACCTTGGTGGCAAGTGAGTAAGTGGTTAAGAAAATTAGAGCATGAGATTTCAATAGAACTGAAAATTATATTTCAACTCAACACAAGGCAGCAGAGACAATCCAGGGCTTTAAGACGCTTACCCTTCTTAGCATGTCATCATTAGACACATAATGCCCAGGACTTTCTGAATTTTAAATGAATAGGGACTCACAGAGAAAACCACTTATTTACCTTTACTTACTAAAAACTGAATAAATGACAGCACAACTCAATAAAAGATAGATCAGTCATATCAGAAATAGAGCAGTGAATTCTAATAGTACATTACCTAGGAACTGCCCTTTTAAGACATTCTGGTTTTTAACTACCTTTTCTTGCTAAGTACTTAAAGAATTCTGAGGCCAGGCATCCTGATACACACCTGCAATCCCAGTAACTTGAGAGGTTGAAGTAAAAGGATTCCAAGTTTGAGGCCAGCCTGGTCAACTTAGCCAGACACCTTGTCTCAGAATAAAAAGGCTAGGAATCGGGGGCTGGGGATATATATAGTGCATTTGGTAAAGTGCTTGCCTCGCACGCACAAGGCCTTGGGTTCAATCACCAGCAACAACAACAACAACACCAGAGACAAAACACACATTTTCTCATCATATACTAATGTGATTGAAAGGTGATCCCTACTGAAGTATTATTTGGAAAGGACGCTGAGCACATCTAGGCTTAATAAGAAACAGTGCTATGATTAGTTAACATTGTCTACCATCAGCAAGGTTAAACTGTTCACTTTATTTATTGTTAGGAATAATGCACAAGACCTAAAGACTAACCTGTTATTTTATTTCTCTTCTATCTTAACATAAATGCCATCATACATGTGACGCCATAGACTATATATTATCTTACTAATCTGTAAATCATTGCTTGGTTTCTCTTGTTTAAAGTGGTATTACCCTCCCCCCCCACCCCCAGAATGACATGTAACAGGCTATTCTTCAAACTTCTGTTAGGAGTCTTTTCTTGAAGCATGTCCTCTTCACTACAACTTCTACTACAGATAGATAAACTGAAGATTTTACTTCAATCTTATCACTTATTCAACATTTATTGTGTGTCTATTATGTTGAGTACTATAGAAGAGAAAATAAAGTTTTGAAGAAGAGCCTGCAATGTAATTCAGACAAGATAACACATTCCAAAGTTAAATAATTCAAGAGGCTAAAAGTGATGATGCAAACAGCAAGGCACACAGATCAACAATTCAAATATTTGAAAACAAATTAGAAAAACCTAGGAGCATCTTAAAACTTCAGATTCCCAAGACCTACACTGATTAACTAAACCAGAATCTCCATGGGGCAGGCCCAAGAATCTTTTATTTAAAATTGTTCCCCAGAATCTCATAGCAGATCTATATTTGGGGTTCAGGTAGGGCCAGTAAGTGCTACAAACACCTTTAATACAAGATAAATAACAGTTAAGTCCATGAGAAATACGGATAATGTGCTACAAAAGTTCACAAGAAAGAGTGCTGCAGGAAAGGCCCTGAAGAAGAGATAACAACAGAGCTGGATCTTGAAGACAGGGTAGAAGTTGAAGATGTGGAGAAAAGGAAAAAAGGCTCATCAATAAGGATAAACACTTTAAGCCAAGGTACAGAGACAACTGAAAACTGTAGTACTAAGGAGCTTGGTTTGGCTAAGGTATAGGACGTGCTGGGAAGTGATGGTTGGTAAAATTTTATAAATCTAAATGCCAGATGAAAGAGTTTAACCTTTATTTCACAGACAATGAAGAATCTATGTAAATTTTTTTAAAATGGGTATCAATATAATAGAGATGTGCATGAGAAAGATTACAGTGCTAGCAGATACAGAAAAAGCAGAGGAAGAAACAGAAGAGAGCAATTAGAAAACTATTAGCAAACTCCAGGTAAGAGATAATAAGGGCAGCAGCATGGAGAACATGAGTGGTAATATGTGAGCAGAAAAGACAAACTGGGAAAGGAAGACAGCTGTTCCTATCAGGGCTAGGGAAGGACAGTAGTACCATTTATGAAATAAGGAACTGGATCAATAGCAAATTTGGAGAAGAAAATGAATCCTATTTCAGATAAAAGGAAAAAAGGAACTTTGGGGTGCTAGGGATAAGGGCCTTACACATGCTTGGCAAGTGCTCTATGACTAAGCTACACCATCAGTCCACTGAGGTAAAAAGCACAAATTTCAGAGTCAACAACAAACAACTCAAAGACTGGGGAATGATGAAAATAAGAGACAAGACAGATAACAGAAAGAAAAACACACATAAGGGCCATTATCAGAAAAGAATTAACTTAATTTGGCAACTGGATATGAAGAATAAGAAACTTAAGGGTGACTTAATGACTATGAATCTGCATAATAGAGAATGGAAGGGCAACTGGTAAAAAAGAAAGGGCTGATAGGGGTCTTCCAGGGAAGGCAAAGCTTGGGTAGATCATCACTCAACACAACAGTTATTTCAAAGACACTATTACTTGAGGAAGGATGGGCTAAATCAGTGCCCCTCCAGTTCATTGTGGAAAGATGCACTAGATGTTGAGGCATGTTATGTGATTATAAAGAAGCTTCAAAAGCTTACTCATAATTTCCATTCTTATCTTGTCACACACCAGTAACAAACAGTTTGTATACTGACACAGGTCCACAGACCATTGCCAGCATCTCCAAGATGCTTCCCATTAATATGACATTAATATGGCAAGCCTGGTTGCTAAGAAGAGCAGTGAGTGAATTGGGAAGAGAGAGGCCAGTTTCCCCTGAGTGAACTTTTCTCATCTATGAGAGACATAGCTGGCCTGCTTATCTCCAAATGTGAAGAAAATAAAATTATATCTGTAAAGTCACAATATAAGTACAGTTATTATTAATATTGAAACATTATCAGTAAAAACCAAACACACACCAACAAATTCCAAACTTGACTCCGGGCTTATCCATAATCACAAGAATTGACAGAAAATTCTCCAAACAAAATTAACTTTATTAAGACAACAGCAGCAAAATGGTAACATTGCTGATTAAAAAAAAAACAAAACAGGGGAATCAAAAAGAGAAACTGGTAAGAAAAATATATAGTAAATAAAATAATGAATTTAACTGTAGAAATGCTGAATTTAAGGTATTAACAGAATATTTGTTGAGAAATATCCAACAGGTAGTTCAAACTCAAAAGAACAGTCAGATATATTTGGGAGACTTGGCAGGCGGATCACTAGAACCCAGAGGTTCAAGACAAGCCTATGTAACAGCAAGAACCTATCTCAAAAGAACTTGTTTTTGAATTTAAGAAAAAACAATGGTCAGACATGAGAAAAAGATCTGAGTCATTCATATAGAAATAACAGGTGAAACAATGGAAGAATGGTACACTTATGGCAGTTAGGAACTCTTTGGAACTTGCCACTCTAAAGCACCTATATACTAGGTGCTTTATGGATGCATTGTTGCTCTGAAAGGAAGTGCTTGATCAAAAAAATGAAGAAATCATAAATAGAAAAAGTTCAGAACTGAAGCTAAACTTGTAGGTAAGGCGAAAAGAGGGTTTGAAATGGGCTTCTTTGAGAGTGCATGCTGATATCAACTCTCATCCCTACAAGATCAAGTGGTTGAACTTGACTGAGAATCCATAAGGCCAAGACCTACCAAATCAAAAATTATCATGCCAAAGAAGATATAAGCCATCCTGCATGACAAAAAGAAAAAACAACAAATGAGATTTACAAGGGCATCAAAGGTTGGAATTATGAATATAAAACTGTTATGTATGAGATGTTTAAAGTATGAATTTTATGAAGAAAGAAATATAAAAGAAAAATAGGAATGGCCAAACAAGATTGAAAATAAATGGAAACCCTATAAATAAAAAAAATTTAAGTCAAAAATACATAAATACTTTGCTCCAAATAAAGAAAACAAGGCATGAAGCCTGGTGGCATACACTTGTAATCCCAACCACTCTGGAGACTGAGTCAGGAGGATCACAAGCTGAAGGCTATCATCAAACACTTAGCAAGACCTTGAAAAAAAAAATTTTTTTTAAAGGGCTGGTTTTGTAAGTCAGTGGAAGAGAGCCCGCTGCCTGGCACTGCTCAAAGACCTGGGTTCATTCCCCAGTGCAAATAAATAAACAAACAAACAACAAACAAACAAATAAGTGGCAAGCAATCATATCTATCTTCACTACTTCTATTCGACACTTGGCTGAAGATCTTAGTACAGTAAGGCCAGAAGTAGCAATAAAAGGCTTAAAGATCAAAAGGGTGAAAGTGAAATTGTCCATATTTATAAATGACACGATTGTTTGCAAGGAAAGTAATAGATTTTATAAAGATTTTAAGTGACCTAAAGTGGTATCCCACATTCATGGATTGGAAGATATAACACTGTTAAAACATCAATTCTCTTCAAATTGATTTATGATAAAAACCACAATTACAATTTTATCAAAAATGATAATTTCATTCAAGAATTCCTATAGGAATACAAGTATCTAAAATAGTCAAAATAACTGTGAAAAAGGACAAAATTGTATAATTCAAGTCACTGAATTTCTAGACTTACTCTAGAACCACATTAATTAAGATATTAAATATAGAAGTGACCTAAAAAGGGCTGGGGTTGTGGCTCAGTGGTAGAGCGCTCACCTAGCATGTGAGAGACCCTGGGTTCGATCCTCAGCACCACATAAAAATAAATAAACAAAATAAATATATTGTGTCCATGATAACTAAAAAAAATTTTAAAAAGCCAGGTTAATACACCAATATATGGTCCATTATTTCACAAAAAAGTACCAAAAAACATGAATAAAAAAATGAAGATTTTTCATCAAATATGCTAGAATAACTAGATACCCATAAAAGAATGAATCTTGACTCCAACCATACCACCATATGAAAATAAGTAAGACAGGTTATATATCTAAATTTTTATGCTAAAGATAGAACTATGAAGTTCTTAAATACAACAGAGGAGAAAATCTTGAATGGTCATAAACATTTAAAAATGGTATGCAGAATGTACACACCATTTTTTTATGGTATGTACATTCTTTTTTATTTTTTTAAAATAAAAAAAATAAAAAGAAATGCAATAAACTTGACTTATTTAATATTAAAAACTGGTACTAATCAAAAGATACCATTAAAAAAATAAAAAGGCAAGTAGCAGACTAAAGGAAAACAATCTCAACCATATATATAACAAAAAGAAATATCCAAAATATATAACAAAAAAATACGTTAAGAAGGAGGCAGGGCTGGGGATGTGGTAGAATGTGATAGAATGCTTGCCTATTAACCACAAGGCCCTGGGTTTGATCCCAGGCACTACCAAGAGGCTTGAAAATATACTTCCCCCAAAATTATTTTTGAATGTCCAATAAGTACATGAAATGGTAAAAAATCATCAGTTATTGGGGAAATACAAAGTAAAATGACAGTGACAATGAGATATCATTTCATATCTCATTAGAATACTAAGGGTGAGGGGCATAATTCAGTGGTGGGATGCTTGCCTGGCATCATGAGGTTCTAGGTTTGATCCACAGCACTGCAAAAAAAGAGAGAGGAAAAAAAAAAAAAGTAGTAAGAGCTTGAAAGTGTTCCCCACATTTTTGTGTTGGAACTTGATCCCCAAAGCCAAGGTGCTGCGATGTGAAGCAAATAAGAGGTGACTATGTAGTTAAGGGGGATTAATGCCCTTCTCACAAGGATGGATTAATTTTTGCTAAATTGGATTAGTTACTTGGAAAGTGGGCTGTTATAAAGCAAGATCAGCCTTGTGTTTGGTCTCCCCTACAAAAGCCTACTTGCTCTTTTACTTTCCAACTACGTTATGATGCAGCACAAGGACCTCACTAAAAGCCAAGCAGATGCCACCACCATGCTCTTGGAATTCCCAGCTTCCAGAACAAAAATCCAAAAACCTGTATGCATTGAAAATCATCCAATTTCAGGTATTCTGTTATAGCAACAGAAAAAAAAATTTTAAAAGACAAATACATAAAACTTTAAAAAGACTGACACCACCAAATGTTGGAGAGGATATTGAGCAATAAGAATTCGCATACATTACTAATGGGAGTATAAAATGGTACAAACACTTTAGAAAATGGTTATGGTTAAGACTTCTTGTGAAATTAAGTACCTATATGGTGTAAGCTTGAGAAGAATGTATATTTTACAATTCAAAGACAAAAACAGGTTGAAAACAAAGAGATGGAAAAGAATATATGTGAAATAGTAACCATAAAAAGAGCTAGAATAGCCATATTATCATAAAACAAAATATACTTCAAAACAAAAAAGTTTATTTTTAAAATGATTAAAGTATCAGCACATAAGGAAAACACAGTATTATAAACACACATGTAACTAATGGAGTCCCAAAATAAAAACTGACAGAACTGAAGGGAAAAATCAATAATTCCACAATAACATGGGGACTTCAATACTCCACTCGTTACAATAGAAAATCATCAAGGAAATAAAATAATCAGATAATCTCTAAGGCCCGCTGGTCATGGGGGAGCACATCTGTAATCCTAGCTAGTCAGGAAGCTGAGGGGGAAAATCCCAAGTTCAAATCTGGCCTTGGCAACTTAGACAGACGCTGTCTCAAAAAAAAAAATAAAATAAAAAAGGACAAAGGACATAGCTCAGTAGTAGAGCTCCCCTGGGTTCAATCCCCAGTACCAATAAAAAAAAAAAAAAGGAAGAAATCTCCAAGGTCCCTTTCAATTCTAAACTCTATTACAAATTCTAAATTCTATGACTAATTCACCAAGAAAACTTAAGATTAGCTTTGCTCAAATAATATGGTACATTTCTTTCCAAATGATAACTACTTTACCTCCATTATATCAAAACTAGATCCAATAAGAGAAAAATATTAGTACAAAATCTATCTGCTACAATGGTGCTTAAAAAATTAAAATAAAAACAAAAAAGAAGGCTTACGTGTGTCTTTCATATCTGAGGGTTTCTCGGATAGACCATGCAACCTGGTATGGTGAAGCCTGTTCTGAGTCCTCCAGTTCCTCTCCGCTTTCTTCAGACCAGTCCAACCCTGGGGCAGACAGAGGATATTCAAGTTAGAAAAAAATTTACTTTGACTAAAAACTTAGATTTAAAAAATAGATATCCAAAATACATAAGCCAACACCAGCAAGTACTATCATAGTGTTGAACAAATGCCTCCAGTATTTCTATCACTACAAAGGCATTAATAATAAATATATGATATATGCTCAGGTTTTGAAAAAATGACATTATAACAAAAAATCTATGCTATATTAAGGATGGACTTTTAACAGGCTCTTTACTAATGGAGTCGACACAACAGAAGCAAAGATATAGAGTTCAGGACACATAAAAGGTAAAATTTTTAAGTATCAAAATATCATACACTAAAACAGTATCAGAAAAACATATTCAAGAGGGTTAAGAAAAGAAGTCCTATGTATGTAATGTTCTAGCAAGAAAAAAGTCAAAAGGTGGTAATGGAGTCACCTTCAACAAAGAAAGGCCCTGGAATAAACTATCAAAGGCAGACACACTCCATCTTTCCCCCAATACATGTGGAGGAAAGGAAAGGGTTCCAAGGATTAGGCACGGCACTCCCATGGGAAAAGCAAAGGGTGGGATACCGATGTTCAATTAAATGAAGTTTGGGCCTTCTTTCAATTCCTTTAAACAAGAGCTGCCACATTTTGTGCTTCATTTGCTAAAACAAGTTTAGAGGAGATAAAACGTAGAAACATGGTATCAATGATGCTTAACTGTTTTGTTAAATGCTATAATTTTTTTTTTTTAATGCTATAATTTTTAATGACAGGATAACTATTAGCTTCTGACATAAAGGTTTTCCCCGTTTAAAAGTTTATATTCTGAAGAAGTCTTGACAAATAGATGTTGCATAGCCTAAAGAATAACTGAGTGTGTGGGATCGTGCAATTTCAATATACTCATGCCACTATGAAAGTTATTAGACATCTTGATTTTGTGTCTTCCTACATGAGAACCTCAAAAATCAAAAGAGCATTCTCATTAGACAGTCATATTTAAAAGGATCTCATGGACTTCTTTCATAGTTTAAATGAGTTTACATGTGCCAAATAGAGAAATTAAGAAATGGATAATTGAAATGCAAATTATAAATGCTTAAAATTAAATTACATATTGCCACTGGTAAAAGAAACTTCAAATCTAGTTCCAAGATGACCCTTTATGGTGTCAGGTCACCTTAAAATGTGAGTACTTACTACTAAGTGCAAGAATCAAAATTTGTAGGGAAAAAAAGAAAAAGAAACAATTAAGTGATGATAACAACACCAACTTCAGTGAGGTCTTTCAAAGTGATACTTAAGCACCTTTAAAAAAACAGAATATGAAGGCTGAATCAGGAGGACTTAAAGTTGGAGTTTAGCCTGAGCAACTTAACAAACCTTAAGAAATTTAGCAAGACCCTGTTTCAAAATAAAATGGGCTGAAAATGTGGCTCAGAGGTTAAGTGTCCGGTTCAATTTCCAGTACCAAACACAAAACACAATATGATCTATCTTTTGTTGACAGAAGTAATGATATTTTCTACTAAGACACCTACACTTCCTCTGAAAAAGTCAAGACCTGAGTTGTGTTTTTCCTGCTGAGAAATTAACTATCCAATATAGCAAACCTTTGATCTTAGGTTATCGCCAGTTTTAATATTAACTAACTGATATGACCAGCCCAGACAGAACTATAAAAGCTAATTAGAAGACTAAATTTTTCTTTAAGCACTCTTTGCTGACATAAACAAAGACTATGTTTGGTTCTAAGATTACATTACAATTTCTCTAAAATAAACTTTGCTGTAAATGACTTTAAATTTAAAAAAATAAAATAAAAAGGCTGAATTTTGGGGCTGTGGTTGTAGCTTAATGATAGAGTGCTCACCTACCACCTGTGAGGCACTGGGTTCCATACTCAGCACCACATTAAAAAATAAATTAAACAAAAGTCCATTGTGTCCATCTACAACTAAAAAACATTTTTTTAAAAAAAAAGGCTGATTTTTTTTGTAAGTTCATTCAAAATTAATAGCCCCCAACATAAAATTCCAGTTTCAAAAGCTGAAGAATTTTCAACATCCACAAATGAATGAAATTATAAATTAAAATGTAGTGGACGAGGGGCTGGGGTTGTGGCTCAGTGGTAGAGCGCTTGCTTGGCACATGTGAGGCACTGGGTTCGATCTTCAGCACCACATAAAAATAAATAAATAAAAGAAATGTATTTTAAAAATAAATAAAATGTAGTGGATAATACAGACTGAGTCTCATTGAGTTGCTTTATGTCTGGAAGTTGCTGAAGCTGGCTTTGAACTCTTGATCCTCCCGCCTCAGCCTCCTGAGCTGCTGGGATTACAGGCAAGCGCCACCATGCCTGGCTAAACCAATTTTTAAATTTTTTTGTAATTGTAGATGGACAGAATGCCTTTATTCCATTTGTTAATTCTTACCTGATGCTAAGGATTGAACCCAGTGCCTCACACATGCTAAGTGGCCTTTCCACTGAGCTACAGCCCCAGCCCTAAACCAAAGGATTTTAATGTAACAATATGAAAAATTCCTGTATACAGTTTCAGATTCCACATTGCAACTACCACTTATCAAATTTCAGGGAAGAATCAAAGGACAATGACCACAATTACTTTAAAAAGGCTATTAAAGTACTCCAACTTTTCCATCTACGTAAAAGTCAGACCATATTTTCCTAAAACCATATATCATGACATATTAAATATAGAAATAGGCATGAGAATCCACCTTCCTTCTAGTAAATCTGACATTAAAATATGCATAACAATGCAAAATAACACTCTATCTTGTTATATTTGTTTTGTTTTGGAAGTTATTTACCATATTATATGGCGAATTTATTTTGTTATTTTTGAATGAATCATTAATATTTTTAAACTTTTCCATTTCAACTAACATAGTAAGTATCAATAGAAATAACATATACAAAAGTTTTATGGTGCCTTCAATTTACTTATTTATTTATTTTTAAGCTACTGGGGCTTGAACCCACAGGGACTGAGCTACATCCCTAGTTCTTTTTATTTTTTTGAGACAGGGCATCCCTAAATTGCTAAGACTGGCCTCTTGCCTCAATCTCCTGAGTTGATGGGGTTGCAGGTGTGTACCACCATGCCCAGTTATCCTCAATAATTTTTTAAGTGTAAAAGCCTCTAAAGGCCCAAACTTGAAAAATACTGATCTAAGATGTGAAAATTAAAGCAGATTTTCTATTAAATTTGCAAAGGCAAAAATAATAAGATCCAGGGCTGATAAAGATGTAGACATAACTAATTCAAATGTAGTACTGAAAGAAGAGTAAACTGACAAAGTAATTCAAGGAAAATTTAGCAACACATATCAAAAACTTTGTTTTTGGTGCTAGGGATTGATCCTAGGGGCTCATATATGCTAAGTATGCACTGTACCATTAAGCTATATATGTAATCCACCAAAAACATTTTTATAAAAATATAAATTCCACTTCTAAGAATCTATTTGAAGAAAAAAATTAAAGATGTAACAGTAATTATTTTGGGGCAAGGCTCTACAAGAGTATAATGATATAAACTGGAAATGACTTAAAATTGAAGATAGAATTCAGCTATGACAAGTTATTTCATATAAAAATTAACTTGAAAATACATAAAATTTTTTAAAAGTTATAAATCAGCATGTATAGTAGGAACAAATTTATACGTTTGAGAAAGTATTAATCAATGAGTATTAGGGTTTGAGGTATTTTAATTTGTTCTTTTGGCTTATCTATATTTTAAAAATTGTTTTTTGGTGTGTTATGTGGGAGGGGCAGCGGTCCTGGGGCTTGAACCCAGAAAGTGCTTTACCACTGAGCCACATCTCCAGCCCTTTTTATTTTTTGAGAGAGGGTCTCGCTAAGTGGCTTAAGGCTTTGGTAAGTTGCTAAGGCAGACTGGCCTGGAATTTGCAATCCTCCTGTAACAACTTTCCGAGTCACAGGTGGGTGCCACCACACCCAGCTAAGAGTTTTATTAAGTATTTTAATTATCAAAAGTTGGTGTTTTTTATTTGTTTGTTTGTTACCAGGGAGTGAGCCCAGAGGTGCTTAACCATTGAGCCACATCCCAGCACTTTTTGTACTTTGATTTTGAGACAGGGTCTCACTAAGTTGCTGAGGCTGGCTTTGAACGTGTGATCCTCCTTCCTCAGCCTTCTGAGCCACTAGGATTACAGACCTGTGCCACCACCCCTGGCTAACACAGTGTTAACAATATGTGAAACAATATAAGCTACACAAGAAAAGCTACCACTCCCTTTTCCCATAAAACATATCCTGCCCAATTCCAGTCTCCCTGTAAGAGCCAATGTTAACAGCCCAGAAGCACATATCCTTTTACACTTTTTCCTGTCTATGCAAACAAATAGGCAAATATCTATCCACATACTTAATCAATAAATATAATGATGTACTTTGTTTTTGTAAAAATAAACAAAGCACATGAACAGAGTAACAAAGAACACCTCTTGATTTTTTTTCCACCTGATAAATCCTGGGCACATCCTGGTCAAAACATACACATTTCATTCAATTCTTTTAAATAGCTGCTTATTTAACACATGTGTGTACAATAATTTATCAAGGTTTCCTGTCAGTGACTCAAGATATTTACAGATTTTTAATGTTGTAAGCAAAGCTGTAATAACCATTTTCACACACAGATTATTAGATAGGACATGTTATTCATAGAGTAGAGACCAGTGATGGTCTGAATATGAATTGTCCCCTGAAAAGCTCACGTTAGGAAATGCAGCAATGTTAAGAGGTGAAGACAGGATTTTGAAAGCTATAACCTCATTAGTGGATTAATCCATTTGATGGAATAATGATCTGAATGGATTACTGGGTAGTAACTATAGGCCAGTGGGGCACTGCTTAAGCATGTAGGTCACTGGGGCATGCCCTTGGGAACTGTATCTAGTCCCTAGCTCTCCCTCTCTGCTTCCTGGCTACCATGTAGTGACAGCTTTCCTCTACCATGCCCTTTCTGCCATGATGCTCTGCCTCATTTCAGGCCCAGAGCAATAAAGTTAGCTGACCATGAACTGAACCTCTGAATCCCTGACCCCAAAATAAACTTTTCCTCCTGTAAATTTTTCTTGTCAGGTACTGTGGTCACAGTGATGAAAAGCTAACTAATACAAGTCCCAAAAGGGAATTTGTTGGCTATCAATAATTGTGTGTGTATATTTTTTTTAATATTTATTTTTTAGGTGTAGATGGACACAACACAACGCCTTTATTTTTATGTGGTGCTGAGGGTCGACCCCGGGTCCTGCCCATGCTAGGCGAGCGCTCTACCGCTGAGCCACAATCCCAGCCCCAATATATATTTTTAAAGGTATTCTACATTACTCATCAACAAAGTATGAGATACAGGCAGGGTGCAGTGGCACATGCCTGTAATCCCAATGACTTGGGAGGCTGAGGTAGGAGGATTGCAAGTTAAAAGCCAGCCTCAGAAATTTAGCAATTTAGCAAGACCCTGTCTCAAAATAAAAAATAAGGGCTAGGGCTGGGGTTCAGCGGTAGCGCACTTGCCTGGCATGTGTGAGGCACTGGGTTCGATTCTCAGCACCATGTAAAATAAATAAAGGTCTATCAACAACAAAAAAAAAATATATAAATAAATAAAAGGGCTGGGAATATGGCTCAGTGGTAAAATGCCCCTGGATTCAATCCCCAGTACCAAAAAAAAAGTATGACACAATACCCTTAGCAACATTGAGTATAATTTTTGTCAATCTGGTAATTCATTGTTTTAATTTATATTACCCTGCCTCCAATGGGGATTTTTGTTTGTTTATTGACCATTAATATTTGTTCTTCTATTCATATCCTTTGTTCATATTTTTAACTGCTACCCACATCATGCAAAAGAATTTTTCCTGAAGTTAGAATAATAGTTCATATCACATTCAATAAGGTTTAAATAATCAAAAACAAAACAAATAAACCCAACTATTAATAGTAAATACAAAAAAACCTTTAAATTAGAAAAAAAAGTTTTATCTGTATTTTTCTCACTTTCCAACCATACACAGGTATTGTCTTGTGAATTTTTTTTTAAATGAAGCTTTGTGGTATTTTTTCCCCCTGCTATTGGCAAATATTAGCAATGCTATTGTTATTCTAAAATCCTACAATAAGACACAGAGAGTTCTGATAATCCCAGCAACTCAGGAGGTTGAGGCAGAGGAGCACTTGGGCCCAGGAGTTTGAGGCCAGCCTGGGCAACACAGAAACACTCATCTCCTCAAGCTTAAAAAGAAGCATCCAGAGCATCACTCTGTACAGGTAGGTATTCTAGCCCTATCATTTATGTGGTAGCTGTGACAGAATGTGTTTATCTATACATATATGATATGGTAAAACCAAAAACTCACCTAAGTGGGGAAACAGATCAGTATCCAACTGATGTTTTTGTGTGCACAGTTTCACCAGTCTCTGCAGCTGACTTATACAAGAGAAGTGTGGAGAGAAGGCTGTGGCTTTCATAAGGACCCGGTCAGTCCTGGGGGGGTCCACGATGGGAGCCCTACTGGATGGCAGGAGGGGCAGAGGCCTCTTGTGAGACAACTGCCTTGCTTGTGCTATAGTGTGTGTGGTGGGGGCCACTCCCTGCATTGGTAGGCTGGTGTTCTGAGGTTGAGGTGACTTGCAGACAGAACCCTGCGGCGGCGCTGGAGGTTTTAAAGTGGATAAAGGTGACAGGTGGGAGTGCTGCTGCGGAGGCTGCTGGGAAGGTGTAGGAGGGGGACTAAAGTGCTCTTGTCGAACTTTTAAAATCTCTGTCTCTCTCTGGCGCTGCCGATTCTGGGCCAATTTGCTCTGCAACTTCTTTCTCACAGTTGCCCCTTTCTTCAGATCATCATCTTCCTCGTTGAAAGCAAATGGGTCTTCCAACTCAGTTTCCAGGTAGTGGAGAGGGACCCTTGCCCCAGGTGGAGAGAGGGACATTCCATCCAGTCCGTTGGGCATCTTCAAGGCCAGCGTGGGTACTGTCAAGCTAAAGGCCATGGTATCCATCTGGTGCCTGACTTTCACCTCATCTATAGGATCATTCTTTTTCTTCCTCTCTTTTTTCGGGATAAAGCCAAGTACCTGCAAGTGGCTGTTGCAGTACCTTTAAAAGTATATGGGAAAATGTGCATGAAACATATGAAGAATATAAAAATTACATATTATACAATGTGAATCCTATAGGTTAAAAATTTCATGACTATAGTAACTCTTGGCCTTCATTGATTTAATACATAACTTCCACAAATCTCAAGCATTCCTCAAAGTCTGCATGATTCTGCTGAGGCAAATATGCAAACTGAACATGAGCAGAGTTGGCCAGACAGAGGCAAGTCAGTCATCTAGTGAGGGCCCTGATAACAACTAGACCACTGCTTATCACATGATTTGTTGTTCTTTATTCAGAACATACAAAGTAACTCATTCAGAGTCTGAAGGATCATTTAAAATTCTTTTATGGAGAAAAATATATATTCCAATACCATTTAAGTATTTACTTTAGGAGATTCACAGAGAAGCATCCAGATGCTTATGTCATAACTCTCAAGAATATGAAGGGTTTAAGGGTTCACTGTGTGCTTTATACAGAGAGAGACACAGAGAGAAGAACATGAGAACAGAATAAGAGAAAAAAACTGGTTAATGGAATTGTAAGTGGAATGAATTTCTCAATAAAAAAATATAAGAACTTGGACTATCTCCTCTAATATCAGTAGGCACGAATATAATGCACTTCATACAGATTAGGAAACTAAGCTTCATGAACTTGCCCAAACCATTTTCCATTTGGAAAGTGACATATTTGAGACTTGAACTAAAAATCAAAGCTCATGTCTCATTCGTCTTCAACAATGAGCAGGCTATCTTTGCAAGGTAAATGTCATTTTTAAGACATTAAAAGAATAAAACATAAAATTAAAAATATATGTATTAGGAAAGGATAGAGTCCTGTTACATAATGAGAAAGTACTCATGGAGGCTTTTAATCAATAGAATATTTCACCTCTAAACTCACATTATTCATACAGTTTCACTTACGAATATTTACTCAGTATATTTACTTAGTATACATAAAAACAGTATTCCATGCTTAAGAAACTTTGAAAAATGCTGGCTTAAACAAAATTAGACATTGATTTTGTTGTTGCTTGTTTCTTCTGAAATTTTTCTCAAAACATTTTGTATAATATGCACTATGAAGTTCCAAAAGGGATGGGTACCCATCTGGCAGTGTTTCTCCAAGTTATCTGAGAGCTTGCTTGGAGGTTCTAGCAGGGGACTGCAGCTACTTGTGTATCTTTGACAAAGGTTGTCCTCTTTGACCAAGCATGAAGTCTTCAAGTTATTTGAAAATGGAACCTATTCTTTTGACATACAGATGATACCTCCAAGTCCAACTAGCAGATTTGTGCTAGGTACCATATATACCTTAAATAAAAGAGATTCATAAAGCTGTAGCCAGCACCAGGCATGGTAGTGCACACCTGTAATCCCAGAGACTTGGGAGGAGGCAAGAAGATCCCAAGTTCAAAGCCAGCCTCAGTTACTTAGTGAGATCCTGTCTCTAAATAAAAAATAAAAAGAGCTAGGGATATGGATCAGTGGTAATGCACTCCTCGTTATTAAAAAAAAAGAAAAGAAAAAGGCTGTAGCCAGCAAGGAAAGAAATATTAGGAAAACTATATTAACCAAAAAGTGAAAAACAATAAAACAATTCAGTAAAACTTAAAACAGTAGGGAGGGGGCGCAGGTAGGTACAGTGATGCATGCCTGTAATCCCAGTGGCTCAGGAGGCTGAGGCAGGAGGACTTCCAGTTCAAAGCCAGCTTTACCAACTTAGCAAGGCCCTAAGTAACTCAGTGAGACCCTGTCTCTAAATAAAATACTTAAAAAAAAAAAAAAAAAAATGACGGGGGCGGTTAGTATGGTTCTATGGTTAAGTGCCCCTGGGTTCAATACCTGGTACCAAAAAAAAAAAAAAAATTTAAATAGGGGTTTGGGGCTGTAGCTCAGTGGTAAAGCACTTGCCCAGCACCACATAAAAATAAATAAATAAAATAAAGGTACTGAGTCCTTCTACAATTAAAAAATATATACCTAAAAAAATTTAATTGGGGGGACAGAGGAGGAGGAGACCAGCGGGAAGGGGTAAAAGAGCAAACAGGGAAAATGACATGATTTAGTACATTATATGTATGTATAAGAATGTCGTCTAGGGGCTGGGGTTGTGGCTCAGTGGTAGAGCACTTGCCTCACCTGTGAGAGGCATTGGGTTTGATTCTCAGCACCACATGTAAATAAATGAATAAAATAAGGTTCATCAACAACTAAAAAATATTAAAGAATGTCATACCAAATTTTGTATAATTTGGCATAATTAATAAGCACTAATAATTATAATTTAAGAGAGTAAATGTTTTTTGTTGTTTTCAACTCAATTCTGTAATTAATAAAAGGCTTATTAGCTTTTTAGGGAGGAACAATGATGTAGTTTTTTTGGTTTTTGTTTTTTAGTTTAGAAATCAAACTTCTCTGCTCATTTATATGTGGAAAGCCCCAGCTGGTAAATGAGGCTGCTCTGTGCTACTGACTAGAATGAGGCTCATTGACAGAGGCAGCCTTCCCTCTCAGCACCCTTAATTCTAGATACTGGGACACCACCACCCACAACAAATAGTCTGGACTCTTAAAAACTCTGCTTCTTGGGGCTGGGGTTGTGGTTCAGCAGTAGAGTGCTTGCCTAGCATGTGCTAAGCCCTGGGTTCGATCCTCAGCACCACATAAAAATAAAGAAAGAAAATAAAAGTATAAA